GCAAGCAGCGTCACCAGGGGTGTTTGGGTTAAGAGATAGGTACAGCTGATCATCGTCAGCATAGATATGATACAAAATTTAATGCCGACGGATAATGTCACCAACGCAATGAATGTACAAAGAGAAAAGCTGAGGACCAATAACAGAGCCCTGAGGGACTCCGAAATTAACACAAACTTCATCAGACAAGGCATCCCTAACACGAACGCTGCAAGATCTATTACTAATATAAGAATGGAACCAATTCTTTACAGTGCTATTAAGACCAAAATTGACATCAAAGCGCTTCAAAAGAATATCATGGTCCACCGTATCGAAAGCGGCAGACAGGTCTAACAATAGCATAAAAACTGCATGTTTGTTATCAATAGCCCTAAGAATATCATTTTGCACATTACATGCATAGGAACTAAAAATACATAAATATTGCAAACGTGTAAAATACAAATACTCAAGGTAAAGATCTTCAAACTCAAGCAATGTGCCAACCACAATTATTTTAAACCATACCTCAGCGTCAGGTGGTATCAGCACTCCCACAATGCTACTCTCTTTCAACATCATCAGGCGTGGATTGATCTCAATGTTTCCTCTATTACCAACCACCTAAAAATTAATGACAATATTTGTAATGCTATAGCCACACAGCAAACTTTCATTGAACATAATAGTAAATTTAACATCACTTAATACAAAATATGGTCGAACATTTTGTTAAATATGTTTACTCCATTGTTATTTGGGTTATTTTTTTTAACCTGACCATAATGACTTAATATCATAATACACTGTACCGCAGTTTTATTTAGCCTTAATCTATGAAGTAAACAGTATTACAGTATTCCAGTTTCCCAGTATAAACTTACAGCAACAGTCCCTCCACGTGCTAGTAGCTCTAGGTCTTTCTGCAGGTTCACATTCGCTAGCATCTCTATAATGACATCAACACCACTTCCATCTGTAGCCTCCTAGGATTTGCAAAGTAGAAAGTGATAATAATAAATGATTTAGAACTAAAATTGAAATGTGGTATTGATTGTTATTTTTTTCATTCTAATCCTGTAATTTAAACAAAATGTTACGTCAACCAATTGATTTATCAAAATGTAATTATTTTACTCAGCATTTTAAGGATGTTTCTGACTTATTATTTTGATTTATTGTAATTCGAGCTCAAACAGTGAGTTCTCTTCATTTACTACAGCCCCATTGAGGACATATATTAGTTGTTGATGAAACAAAAATAAAGATCCCATTAACAAGTTACTGTATGTATCTATAAAAATATATAAAAAAGTCTTGATGAGAATAATTTGAATATATTACCATGATTTTGTCTGTGTAGCCTGGTTGCCTGTGGTTGAATGACATCTTGGCACCAGCATTACGCACAAGCTCAAGACCCTCTGGGCTACCAGCTGTACCATACACTGTCATTCCATAGGCCTTTGCTAGCTGGACACTGGCAATACCTACCTTTGAAAAATTATAATTCTTTATTAACAATGGCAATTATGCTTAGGGTTGGAATAAAATGAAAATTAATCACCACCACCACCATAATTAATCAGGCTCTTTTACACTCAGTTATCAACATCTATACCAACATTGGCATCAACACCATCAATATCATCTTTAATACCAATATAACATCAATGTCATCAACATTGATATTATCAACTTCAATATGACATCAATATCATCAGCATCGATATCATTAACATCGTTTTATTATCAACATCGATATCATCAACATTGATATCATTAATATTTTATATCACCAACATCAACATCATTGACAACAATAATACAAGTTAAATTGAAATTTTCATATTTGTTGAATCAAGTATGTAACATTAATATAATGAACATTTTGTGTGAACTTACTGACCCACTTGCACCATGGACTAAAACCTTGTGGCCAGCCTTTGCCTTTGCCCTGTGGGTCAAAAATTAAAAAATTAAAAACACTTTCTCTTAAAACTTAGTTAAGGGTCCTTATCAGTTATCAACTTCAAAAAGTCTCAGATTGAACAAAAAATCTGTTTTCAAAGATTACAGATGTTTTACTAAAAAATATTTTTATTGGAGAAAAAAAAAATGGTTTCTTTCTGATACTGTCACCCAAAAAATAAAGTTTTCTCAAATGAAAAATGAAAAAAATATGATGAATTATATAAGAGAATGATTGGATAAGGTTGTGGTTTGGTGATTAAGATACCCGCTCTACAGTTAAAAGGTGCCTGGTTCAATCCATGCAGGATGTTTCCCAACTCAAGCCTCATAAAGAAACCTGGTTTTAAGTCATTGAGAGATGCAAATAATGGATCACTTATGCTAGTCAACATGGTGTTTTAAAAAACAATCTAATTTATTTTCCAATATATGCTACAGTAGTTTAAAAAAAACACATTTACCTCAATATAAGAGCATGATACGCAGTAAAGTATGGAATTCCCATTGCTGCACCTTGCTGGAACGAAAGTGGTGCTGGTAGGGTGAAGACATCTTTCTCATTAGTCACTGTGTATTCTGCATATGATCCAGTAACAGATTTGTATGTGAATACTCGGTCTCCTGTCTGAAGCGGAAAGAATACTGAATGTGAATTGGCATTTAGATAATACACCCACAGAACAAAGTGACGAAGGTAAAATCTACAACGGAATGACGAAATGTAGAGCAGGTGCACATCCATCATCTTGGCTAGAATGTGGTTTGGGCTGGAAGCATTTTTCGAATTACTAACGATTAGCTAGATTGTTAACTTTATATGAAGAACATGCATTAAGATTTCGAGTGATGGCCTAAAATTATTTTTTTATTGGTCAAAAAAAGGGCCAGATATGTTTGTATCATGTGTCTGAATACAATCCACAGGAACACATTGGCTGTTATTGGTAGGCAGAGCTACAACTGAAATGCAATCCGAGTCCATCAGTTCATGTTGGTAAGTTGACGGCCTGCTGCATTCCTACAGCAGCTTGTGGGACTTTATGTCCAGTCGACCGAAACGATCACACATGGATTCAGAAAGCAACTGATTTGTTTTTATTTAAAAAAATCCAATGTCCAGATGTATTTGGAAGAATCATTTTGCTAATTTAAAAAATCATTTTAAAACTTTTGGTAACACTCCTCTACAGACCTTTCTGAATAATATATTTTCCTAGAAATATAAAAAATAAAAATGTAATAAGTATCTATTTATAGGCCTACCTTGTACTTAGATACCCCTGGACCAACTTTCTCCACAACACCTGCACAGTCGTTACCTGGTATCCATGGTAATGGTGGTTTGATATGGTAGGTACCCTGCCTCAAGTACGTCTCAACAGGGTTCACTCCTGCGGCATGTACCCTCACCAACACCTGAATTGAATTGAATTTATTATGTCTATCTGGAAAAAACATATCAATGTTTGGACTGAACCTGCACAAGCTAAGATCACTATCATGCGGACGTGGTATCCAAAATCATGATAGGACTTTAAGATTCTGGTCAATAAGATCATAATAATTGTTATGCATGAGGTTAAATTCAACTAATCAGCTTTTGGCTTTAACAGTACCAAATTTTGGAGTAAGGCCAACTGATGTATTTTCATTAGTGTCATTAACAAAATGTAGTTAGCGGTAGCTTTTACTACGATGAAGGAATGGGAATTCCAAACTAAGCAATGCGCATGCCCAGTCACCAAAGATCGTCTGTGAAATATCTATAAAAATACAGTGAGCATACGCTTGGAAATGCTAGACAGCCAGTGAGCATGTGCACTGAGTAAGTGACGTTGTCTAAGGAACCAAATGGCATCTATGAAGAATACTTTAATTTATTAAGTTCGGAAATACCAACCAGTCATAAGTTAAAAGATGTTGCAGTGTTTTTTTATAGGAAATATATCTTGTAGTTTAAAATAGCACATCACGGTGCAAAAATCTAGTTAAATTGAGCATCAATTTTTCTATAGGAAATTGCATGTTCCGACATGCACTAGTGCAGTAAAATGTCAAGACTGAAGTTTAAGGTTATGGTAAACTCAGCTCCACCAGTCAACATCTGGGATTGGTGTAAAATCGTCGGAGCAATTATATCTAGAGTGTTTTTTTTATAGGCCTATCTGACCTGTTTTTCATTTGGCTCTGGTATTGGAACATCTGAATCAAGCTTCAATTTGTCTGGCCCTCCGAATGCATGAACTCTAACTGCTCTCATTGTAGCCTGATGAAGGGTTCGACTAACATGCATCGACGCTTTGGAACAAATTGGATCCTCAGTAGACTCTAGAATTTAATCAGCAAAATTGAATCAATTATCACTCATATTATTAGTATTATAATAAAAATGACTATTAAGAAATGTTGTCTCACCATGTCACAGAATCTAACTGATCATTTTAAGTGATTCTCTGCCACCAGTCTCACTAAAAAGTGCATACCACCAAACACCACCAATTACAATCACAAATGAGGATATTTTATAAGTGAAGACCTTTAAACTTTCTATTTAGTGTGAATTAAAAATGATAGTTTGAGGTATTCATCTAAATTTTTTCGCTATCAACAACGGAACAGTAAGGTAATTGTTTGTGTGTTTTACAATTGTCAGAAAAAAAAAAATTTACAACAGGCCCTACTTGTATTTTCACACTACGGTATTCTTAACTATAATTAGAAAGTATAAAACTGCTTGATAAAAATTAAAAAGTGCTTATTTGCGAAGGTAAGCTATTTGGTATGTGGTGTCCAGTGGTATAATAAATAAGCTTTAGTTGGTCACAGGCAACAACTGTCGGAAAATCAAATGTGGGTACTATTTAAGGTCAGTTTTAGGTGAACTGATAAACATGAATATGCATGCTTGACTTCTCTCTTGCGAAAGCAGGTTCGCTGCTTGTGAAATCTGCAGCACTGAATAGCATACACATAGTACTGATTCCGAAGGATATAAACGTTTACATGCTCGTGCACAGTATTAAGACCTGTCTCTTATACACATCTATTTTGACGCGCTTTCTCGATTTCACGAACTAACACAATCTACTTTGATTGTGTTAGTTCGTGATGTGAGCGACGAATTGTCAGAAAAAAAAAAATTTACAACAGGCCCTACTTGTATTTTCACACTACGGTATTCATAACTATAATTAGAAAGTATAAAACTGCTTGATAAAAATTAAAAAGTGCTTATTTGCGAAGGTAAGCTATTTGGTATGTGGTGTCCAGTGGTATAATAAATAAGCTTTAGTTGGTCACAGGCAACAACTGTCGGAAAATCAAATGTGGGTACTATTTAAGGTCAGTTTTAGGTGAACTGATAAACATGAATATGCATGCTTGACTTCTCTCTTGCGAAAGCAGGTTCGCTGCTTGTGAAATCTGCAGCACTGAATAGCATACACATAGTACTGATTCCGAAGGATATAAACGTTTACATGCTCGTGCACAGTATTAAGACAATTCTGTGTATAGTTTTAATGGTGATTTCTCACGAACACTTTGTTCACCTTCAATATGAATAACAAGATAGGCATTCATAGATGTACTATATCAAGCAGATATATCATAAACGTTCATTTTACCAAAACCGACGACATTCTATAGTACACAAATATGACATACTGTTTATTAAAAACTGTCTGCAAATGAGTCATACAAAAAAAAACAGCAAAATATACTCTCATTAAAATTTTTAATTATAAACATTGTAATTAATAACTGTGTCCGAAGTACTCGTAAATTGTTGTCTCCGAGCAAGTGTTTATATCCTTCAGATATATCTAAGTATGTTGAACCTTGGTGGAAAAAGAATTTCATGTATTTTATGTGACAACAGAATCAGTACTATTATATAGGGGAAACACCATTGCTACAACACATGTCATATCATGTCATATTAGGCCTACATTATAATCTATAATCAAATAGCCAGATTCAATATTACTGAGTTTTTTTTAATACTTTCAAAGACCATATGTACGTAAACTGTGATAGGGATATTATTACAATAGTCCATTAAATTTCACACTGTCCTGACTACCAAGGCCTATTTTAGAGATTTTGGCTTGCGCCATATTTTTCACAACCCACGCGCAAGCATTGCAGCTATACTTGATACACCACTGAATACCTCTTTCGAGGTGGAAGTCTAGCATGCATATTCATATTTATTAGTTTACCTAACTGACCTAATGGTGCCATTCATATAATTTCTGCCTTAACTCAAAGATATTACAGGAGTCCCAAGCTCCCGGGAATCAGAATGACCTCCCGCATTCCCACAAGCAACTAAAAATCTCCCGGAAATTAACCCATCTCTGCTAATTCATAATTTTGCATGTTTTCACTCCTTTACTATAAATTTTATTGAGGAACAGTGCTAATGGGTGCCTATGTGCAGCAAAATTAAATTAAATGTTAAGAAAGCTCATTAACCAGATCAGTGGTGGATTCAAGGGTGCGGGGAGGGGGGATAGAAAAGAAAATTATATTCAAAGTCTGAGAGCGCCATTTCCAGCCATCTAGAGATGCCATAATCATAAATTTTCCTACCTCTCAGCTCCAACTATGGTGGGGCTGAGGTGGTACCCTCCTCCTGTAAAATTTATTATATTAAATAGTTAGTAGATATTGATTGTTTGCATTAGGCCACGGGAATGAAAGTTGTAGGTTTGCGTCCACCGCCCGCATGCCTAAAAAGCTACCGCACGAAAATTTTCATTATTTTGAAAAGTTCATTATTTTGAAAAAAAAATATACTTCGTTTTAAAAAACGAACTTTCTAAGTCGTAAACAGACAGAAAACGATCTATTCATCACTGATCACTCGTCGCGAACACCAAGCGAAGGCAGGCCTGGCCACATCGCACCATCATTTACGGGTCAAATCGATCTTTCTGACCAATAGGAAATCTTGTATAGGCCTAGGTCTTAAATGTAGAAAAGGATCTGTTTTAAAGGCTAGTGTACATTTTATGACTGTAAGCATTGTTTCTTGGGAATAAATGTAAAATTACCAATGCCGCGGCTTGTGGACAGCATTTATAAAAAAAAAATAATGAAAAATGAAAAAATGCCTCATGTGTTTTCAAAATTTTTCGGACGCAAACCTACAACTTTCATTCTCGTGGCCTTATCTAAATCACGTTTTACTTTGAATATCAATGCACCAGCAAAACAACCCAAGGGTGATATTTGGCTTAAGCAAAATAAAAAATTTTAAAAAAAAGCCTCCCTTAGACCTATAGATAGGCCTAGGCTAGCCAGAAACAAAACCGATAGGGGGCGCTGTTTTTCGGAGTTCCAAACATCGCGATAGAAAATAGTGCCCCGACGGATGATAGGATACCCAATGTATTAATTGGGTATTTCGCGGATATATATCACAATTTGGCCGAAATAGTTCCGGATAACTCTCCAGAAATAAATTCTGAGCCAAAAAATGTTTTTTTCAAGTGCGCGAATCGACTCGGTAAAAGTTTTTTTGACATGATATGGTGACCGCTGACCTATTAATATTAGTGCATAATAAATAATTATTTTAAAATTCGCTAATTACTCAAATTTCCACTCTGAAAAGTATTAATTCATATTTAAACATTTGAACTTTACCGGTGACCTTTGACCTTAAACAGTGACTTTTGACATGATATGGTGACCGCTGACCTAACTTAATAATTACATAATATGTATAATAATTAGACAATGTGATGTTACATAAATAAATACTGATAAATACAATGTAATTAACATGGCCTAAAATGCTACACAATTATACACTAGGGACACATTTCTTGGATAATAAAAACAATAGGAATTACTCCCCGGGGAAAAACATACTTAAATTGCAATATCTCCGCTGATACTGGTCCGATTTACATAATTTTTGTTTTAAAATGCTTCACTCAGCTATGTCTTTCTTATAAAAATAATTAAAAAAATATTTGCAACATTTCAATTTTTTATGTTTCTAGCTACCTTAGACCTATAGATAGGCCTAGGCCCTATCCCTATGCCTGCACCGCAGGTAGTGTCCCCTTTTTAGCCTCTACTTCATAGGGTAGGTAACTACTACAGGTGTGGTCTTTATTTTTAGTTTTTTAAGGCCTACGAATTTCGAAGAAACTAGGCCTAGCCTAGACCTAGTATGCCTACTGTACATAGATTAGGCCTTGCACAGGCCGCTAGCCTAGGGTAGGCCCTAGCAGTAGGCCCTAGTAGGCATGCTAGGCCTAGTATTTATGATGAATGGAAGTATCCATACCTTGACAAGAATCAGGTAAACACAGGGCAAAGCTAAGAAATAGAAGACAGATTGGAAGAAAATATATAACACAATAATTCATTCGTTCAACAGTCTCAAGACTGGCTTAAACTAGGCTCCTCCTCCTTTGCACGCGGTGGCTGCAAAGTCAGTCTCTCCCTTTCTCTCTCCCTCTCTATCTCTAGTTTCACCACTAGCTGGGCACTGGCCACCAAACACACGCCATCTCACGGTCAAATTCGGTTAAACTTTTTTTCGATACGATACCGGCCAAAATTCGGCCAGAATTTAATCCGATTAGAAGACAACAAACAGTGGGCACATTAAAATACAACAATTACACGAGGGGTGAGCGGGGGGGGGGTTCGATTTTTTGGTGAGCGGGGGGGGGGGTTCGATTTTTTTTTTCAAAAAAGGGCGAATTTTAGTAATTATTATATGAAAAATAGTATAAAAAAAAATAAAATAAAATAAACCAACAACATTATACTACTACTTTAGACTTGTTCTTATCATCAATTGGATTATTTTTTAATGAATGGTAATTTACAACATCTCTTATAGATCAGTCGCCTTTTTGATTTATTCTAGGACTTGTCACAGTTATTACAAAGTACTAATTTTCGTGACTTCGATCCTTAGGTGCCCAGAATTGTCACTCTAGAATTTTTTACATACAATTTCGGCACTTCTTAAAATAGGGGTTTCGTTCGAACCCTTCGAACCCCCCGCCCCCCACCCCCGGCTACGGCCTGAATTTATTACCATACGTTAAATGCCCTACATCATATTAATTATGTTCTTTAATTAGTTGCTAGCATGTAGTCCTATTTAAAGTCACATTATTAAGATTTCTAAATTTGAATTAAATGTATTAAATAACGTACATTGTAGTGGATCATTTTATAGCAATATTGTTTTTTTTTTTTCCTGTTATCGAATTTTCATATGGCAAATCAATGGCTCTCTTAATTAGAATGAAAGTTTCCCTGGTAACACAAACCGGTGTTAAAACAAAACTATGAAAACTTCAATAAATGCTTTTTATTTAAACTTTCTAAATTCGCCTCTGAATATTATTGTTGCAGTACTTAAAACAATAAATCAATGTCGCTCATCATCTTCTTCATGATTCTCATATACAACCTCCAGAGTAACTTCAAAGAAGTTTCTGCAACACTTGCTTGCAGCCGCGTAGCTAGGTGCGAAAGGGCCCCAGTGCAAGATTAATTGCTGGGCCCTTGATGTGATAAGGGAAATCCCTAAAGTTCTCAGAAAATTCATCGTAAGAAGTGCTTCTTTTATCCCATACTCCTAAAGGCCTATACTAATGATAATCGGATTGTAACTATTTTTAATAAGGGTATATTTGTTCTCAGCCGCTGTTCTAAACTAACCAAGAAAATTGGTGGCACATAAAATTTAACCATTGCAGTGGCGCAGGTCAGGGAATTCAAAATAGAAGGGCCAGGGAGGGATTTTCACAGGTGAGGTAAGAAAATTTATGATTATGGCACTCTCAGACCACAGAGAAAGGCTCAGACTTAAATTTTAATAATTTCCTTTTTTCCTCATTTCTTTTATAATTTTGTAAAAAAAAAAAAAAAAAAAAGGGGGGGGGGGAGCGATTCAGTCCGGCTGGGGAACCATTGAATACACCACTGATTTGAATATATATATGCCAGGACTCCAACCCAAGAACTTTCGCATACATGGCATACGTCACAACCACTTGGCCATGAATGCATTGTGGTGGTTCAAGCGCCAGTAGAATTTGAGTTTAGGTGTCTGATGTCACGATGTTTATATAGCACTAATATCGCATGTGACTGGACTGTCAGCAATCTATAAGATCTCTTGTATTTTTCATACAGTTGTTTTAGGGTCATTCATAATTTTAAACGTTTCCAAAAGAGTACAAGACATACGCCATTTTAAAAGGGGGGGGGGGGAGGGGGTGGTTGGGTTGACAGATGGATGACGTGTGCATATGTAATATATGAAAATGATAAATTGATGGTCTAAAAATGAAAATGATGACCCCTTTTGCTATAAAATAAAATCAGGTGTACCTGTAGTATAGTGCTCTTGCCTGGTCATTTTTATATGTACAGGTAGGTAGTAAGTAGTAACCAGTAGTAACGTTTTTTGGAGGTTTTTTTTCTGAAAATTAGCTGATGCCCTGGGATTCAACTCGACTGGGTGACCTACAGTAAACCCTGCCTTTGGGTATCGGGCACTGTGTTGCTCCAGGAATGGCACAGGCTATTCCCACATCACTAAATGAGATTATGTAGAATGTTGAAATAAAATAATGTATACCGTGTCCAGTACTGTCACAAAAATATACACAGGTGGCAGCAGACAGAAACGCGCACAGATAAAAAAACATTTAAACTAAACTTAGCCTAAATTTTTTTGACAATTTTAGGAGTAAAATATTCCATTAATTTTTCCCCTTTATTAACCTTTATCTGCTGTTACCTCTTATGTAAATACTGTACATGTAAATTAATATGTCTAGAGAAAAAGACTAAAGAAGCAAACAAAATTCATAAAATACAGTACATAGCCAAGTATTATTTCCAATTCCTAGTGGCAAATGGTACAGCTTTCATTCTACAATAATTTCACAAAACCGACATTTTTATTCATCATAAAGCATGGTAATAAAAAACAGCTGTCATCTAACACACTATTTGGATTTCAAACATTTAAATCTACTGTACAGCATACCGACACATAATATCACGTGTTATACAATGTTTAGGGGTGAAAAAGAGTTTTGTATCAAATGCCAAATAAAAGGTCAAAATTAAAAGCATAATTCATAGCTAATTAATAATTTATCAAATTAGGACTTTCCTCAATGATACAAGTCCAAGGGAGTACATTGTACCAAATTTACCTTATAAAGTAACTAGTTCAGTTGGTCTAATTACCAAAAGGTACTGTACACCCCAGTTAAAAAGCTGGTCTACATATTTTGGTCTATATTGTTCCTCGACTGTAGTGTTCCCTAGCACTGTAGCAGGGTTAAAATCATAACACATGCTGTATCATTTCCTTCTATCAAGGTAAAAATAATTCTTATTACTAGAATTTATCATTTGTAACTTTAACTTGTGTTTAGAAAAAAACAACCTCCAGAGGCCTTTCTGTCAGATAATTTTACATAAAAGTGCTCCTAAAGTAATATTGATACTGTATTGGTACAGTATCTTATTGTAAAAAACAACCAACAGCATTCATTTGTCAACTTCATTATCTAGGTTTATGAACTCATTATTCTGTTATTCATTATGGAATGTTGTATGAACACTAATCCATTAAACAGAAAATAGCAAAATTATTAGTATTTTAATTTGCATGAATTTATAGTAAAAGTGGATACTGTAGACCAACAATTATTTTTAAAGAAGTAGTATCTACAATTAATTATTAATGTATGCCTTGAATAACTTCCTCAACATGTAAAAAATAATAAATAAAGAATGAAACCACATCTTTAAAAGAACAATTTTATCAAACATGTTCAAAAGTTCTATTAAAAATATGTCCCTTAATGTTCGGTAAATGTTGTGGTACATCAATGATTAATCAGATTCTTGTTCACGTCTCTTACCGAAGCTAAGCTAACAATTTTAGAATTCTCTTCTTCGATATCTGTCTAGGTCATAGAATGATGTAACCACAACACGGTTCGCAAACTTACGCCCTGTCAGAGCCTGCTGCGCCTGTTGACTCTCAAAGATATTTGCGAATTCAACATATATTTTCCCAACGCCTGGGATATCCATTCCCTCAATTGGACGTGGCACCTCAAGACTGCGTACTAGGCCATATTTACCACACTCTTCGCGAACGTCATCAACAATTTCTTCATATTCTTCAAGATCTCTGAGTTCTTCAGCTGTGACCATATTCATTAAACAAAGGACCTCAGTTGTAGGCCCTGAGCTGGAGAGATTTAATCCAGGCACCTGTAAATTCAGCTGGTTCTGAGCTCCCTTGGCCCCAACGCTTGCTCGTTGTACGACTAGTTTCTTGTCGCCCAACTGCATACCATTGAGGCCGGCAATAGCTTGATCAGTTAGGTTTATATCAACATATTCGCAAAACGCATAACCCTTTGACATATTTGTTGCACTGTCCTTGACCAGGTTGAATGCACGCAGCTGACCAAATGAACTCAACAGTTCTTTAACTTGATCTTCATTTAAATAATTTGGTAAACCACCAATGAAGATTTTATGCTGCGAATCTGGGACAACTGTAGAAACAACACCAGGTACGTGCACAGATGGAGTTTCTGCTACACCCGGCACAGGCTGGTAATCTTTGGGTCTGCGTATTTTCAGAGATTGATTCTGGAACACAACACCATCAAATGCCATAGCTTGTGTTGTTTCATCAACAGAACGGAACTCCAAAAATGCAAAGTTTTTATCATGGTTAATTTGGACTGCTAGAACTGGTTTACCAGGTGCTTGAGCTAAGCCTGTCAGGTGCATTTGGTGGTTGAAAAAATCTATCATAGCTTCTTCATTGACCCCGAACGGAATGTTACCAACGTAAAGACGTCTTGCTTGTCGAGTCATCTGACTACCAACAACAGGCATTGCAGAGTCAGGATCAAATGGATCCGACATATCCAGAGGGGGCTGGTCTTGGGGTTGCTGTTGCTGCTGCTGCTGTTGCTGTTGTTGAATTTGAATCGGATCGATGGTTGTCATGGCTGCTGGTAGCGTAAAATTTGGAATTTGCCCAGCTGCCTGCATAGCCTTGTACTGTAGTGGGGTGATGTGTTCAAATCCAGGTGGAGCTACATCCCAATATTTATGGACCTTTCGTGGTTTACGCTTTGATGATCTATCTCTGGGAGAACGACTACGACTTCTCCTCCTGTCTTTGCTCCTGCTACGACGATGACGTTCGCGACTACGACTTCGACTGCGTCTTCGGCCACCTGAAGAAAGTAAAATTAATTGTTAAGTTTATCTTGTTATGTTATAAAATTAAATTCTACAATAATTTCTTAAATGAATGATTTAGTAATTACACATCTAAATGAGTAAAATGGAGCAAATGGAGTATGGGATCACAGAAAATAACCAATTTTATATTTTAGTAGTACATTCTCGAATCTGGACTTTTTCCGATTGGGTGGGGGTGGTGGGAGTGGGGTGCGTACGTACACATTGCAACCCTTTGGATACAGGGGAGGTTGCCTTGCCCCTTACATTACAAGAAATACAAGATACAAGGTAAAATTTGTTGTTATGTGTACATTCGAGAATAGTTCCACGTTTCAATGAAGGATATGCCAGGCAGAAGAAAAGAAAAGCACTAATTAAATTAATGATGTTGATGCATGTTCCAACCACCACACTGAATGCTGAAAAATAAGATTTACAGTAAATATTCAGAAGAGGATTTTTGGTACTTTCTTATTGGTAATATTATTCTTGTACTGCTTCGCCTCAGTCCTATAAACAAGTATTACTAAAAACCGCATTTCTCTAGAATAATTGAATATTCCAATATAGAGATTTATCAAATTACATGTAATGTGTTAAATAACTGTTTTCTACAATTTGGCTTTTTAGATGTTGGACAGTAATAAAAGAAATTAGTACAGTACTGCTTTCAAAAGAAATGCAAACTGCATAAAGGCGTTGTCTCCTGGAAACGATTCTTTCAACTTGGGACCCCTGGACTCTTCTTGGCCATATGATAGGGCCCTAACTAAGCCTACACTAGTAATATAGTACTAGGCTTACAGTAGTAGTAGTAGTAGTACAGTAGTAGTAAAGTAGTAGTAGTAGGCCCAAATAACAGACCAATGCTCCGCTACGCTTGGAATAGCCTAGGCCCCATCCAGCCTACTACTAGTACTTCAAGGCCCAAGCCTAGAGTAGTAGGCTAGGCCCTTTTTTGTGGAAAAGGAAATAAATGAATTAAGATTTCTTAGGCCTAGCCTGGAGCCTACTACCTAGGCCTACTGCTACTCTAGGCTGGGCCTGAGGCTATGCATAAGATCAAAGTAGGCCTACAAATGTCCTTTATTGTATAATATACAAAGGTATAAGGTTTGGTTATCATAGCATTTAAGGTAAAAGTAAAAACGACCTTATACGCCTGGCAGTGGTATCATACATTTTGAATCAGGCCTTGGCCTATCTATATGCTACCAGTACGCAAGGCCTACAAAAACAACAGAGCGCTAAAACAACAAAAAGGTGAGGAAGCTGGAGGAGCCTCATTTTTTCTACAAAGAATTGTGGTACTGTCATTATACTGTATGATACTTACCTCTATCGTCATCTTCATGGCCTCCCATATTTTCTGTTTCAGTCGGTCTTAAGTAAACTTTGCAACAATAACGCTTTTAATGCTGACGTATTTCTAGGCTAAAAATGTTTTTCACGTGCCAGGGTAAAATGGACGCTAGAAAACGGCGGTGCATAATTTGCGTTGTCAGGTATGAGCGTTTATAATGCGTTTTACAAACAAATTTGCGTCTCAGTTATTAATTTCATCAAAACAACTGAGTAAATATTCAAAATGCAGTAGAACCCCTATGAAGGTGAGTCCTTCGGGACTAAAAAAGTGTTCTTTTAATAGGGGTGTGTTCAGGGGACAATAACCAAAAAACGTAAAGTTGCCCCCTTATAGAGGTTTTTGGCATGTTTTCATACAATGATGACATATCATAAATTCTTTATTTTCTTATTTGTGTATTGCCAATCAGTTACAGTAGAATTAAGAATAATTTCCAATACAAATCAAATTAATTTATAATATGATTTAAATCAGCACAAATGTCACTTAAAACAACAATATTTTTATATATTCCTAATATTATTTCATGACCAAATATTCCTTTATTTATTTATTTATTTATTTTTTAATTTGAGCTTTCTAGTGGATAAATGTAGGATGAATCGAGTAACGATTTAGAATTAAGGGTGCATGTTATGTATGGATTAAAATGCTATGAAAGTACATGAAAAACAAAGAAAAAGAAATCCCCATGTTTAAGAGTCAAAATTGACAAGATTGTTTTATACTAACACATACAATAGGCCTAATACCAATGTTCATTCTAAGGATTCAGTTGACAAAAGTCTGGTTTACTGCTCAAACGGTCTCAAAATATAAAGTTGACAAAAAAAGTGTCTCCTTAATAGTTTATTTGACCCTTTAGCACTCAGGAAATGTCCCCGTCCCCTTAATATGGGTTGGCCATAGTGTTAAAAGATATATTTTCTCTTGTTTCATTGAAAAGTGCCTCCTTATAGGGGTGTCCCCTGAATAGGGATGTCCCAAAGGAGGGGCTCTATTGTATTACTTACTGAGGAATTTATAGTTTGTATACAAAGTTACATACACTCAACTATCATTTCAGTATTAACTCATCCATTACCGAGTTAAACGCGATCGGAACGCAATATGATATGACGAGTCAAATTTAACTCGGGAAATAGGATGGACACACAATAGATGGCGCTACGTATACTGTAAATGTTCAATCTGATCTGATTGTGTTTTTGCGTCAAATTTAATCATTTTATTCAAACTCACTGGCGGTTGTTGTTACAGTAGCTAACGAAGAACATGTATTTGAAATAAATTTAACCAACGCACTTTATGTGTTACTGTTGGCGTTAAAAGACTGCATATTGTGTACAAACAATTACCAAACATAAAAAATATGGAAAACTGAATGCTATTACAAAATATTCTATTTATTATGCTTATGGGTGAAACTTTCTTTGATAAATTGTTGCGATTTTTTAAAGTTTATTAGATCTTCGTACTTTTTTCAATAGAGTTGTTTTAAATAAAATTAAATTGTCAATTACATGTTTTAAATAAACATGTAATTGACAATTTAATTTTATTGCGTCAGAATTAATAAGAATATTTTTTGCCCTACCTGACAGGAAAAGCTTAGTGTAGGCCTAATGTAGGCCCTACATATGTATGTATG